AGTCTGTGGCCGTCGCTCGCTCCCCGGAGCTGGTCGCTAAGAATGTTGTTATTGGTTCGATCAACCCCTGGTTCGCAGACGCGAACATCAGTGGCTCCGAGCATTCGATTGATGAGCAGACGTCGACGGGGACACAGTTCACCACCCGCTTCAATGGCTCGCACAACTCCGCGGGGAGGAAGGTCAACTAAGCCTTCGGATCCCTCAAGACCTCTGCGTTTGGAGTCACGCCAGCCATATGGCGTCAGTTCCGTGCTGAATCAGTCGCATATGGTCAAGTCAACCTCTTCGTCGGCCCCGACAAGACCACGTCCATGGTGCGGAGGGAAATCGGTTGCAAGACAGTCAAGAGTGCCCTCCTCGCTGAGTTCCCCCAGAAGCGCTTCTTCGTCGACCGCTTCCTGGGCGAAGTGCTTGCTGGATGGCGCCCGCCGGTCAGAATCCCCCCCGTTGATGGGCAGGGCGCGCCGAACTTCAGCTGGGCCAGCGAGAACCCGCTCACGGAGAACATGGGCCCCACAAAGGGTCCGACAGATCATCGCCAACGCCTTCGGCCCTACCCAGACCCTCCAGTGGGGCTCCGAGCCGTCTTAGAGACCTGTGGCATGGACTCTCTCAGAAAGACGGCACCCTTATTTCTCGATGCGAGTCATCGCGTGGACCGCGAGGTCACTATTTCATCATGATCAGATTTTCCCTCTCCGTAAAGTGAAGCTGCTGCGCCGCCTGTTTTCAAACAGGCTGTGTAGTAGGTGTCCAAGAGACGCGCGGTGCAGAGTGTGATGTCAGGGGCCTCCTGCGCCCCCTCCACTCCCCCCCCCAGGCCCCTCCAGGCGTCTTGTTCTTTCCACGGCAACATTCGGACTGGGGGTGTCATGGCCCTGTCCCCGAGCGTCAGGCCATCTGAATGCAGGCGTCGTCTTACTGGCGGCACCCCCCCCCACTTTTTTCCCCTTTTCGACCTCGCCCCTGGCCGCGTTCCCCTGGCCGCGATGGGGGCTGTCAACGGAACGTTTTGGGCGAGGCACTTTAACGTTCACAGTTTTGACGACGGGCGGCGCCTCTGCGCAGGAAGGCCCGCTCGATAGATAGATTCTGGTCGCTGGGGATTTGATCCTTTCCTCTCATGAACCCCTGCCCTTGCAAACCCCGACGGTGATTCCGGTGCGTTTACTGACCCTCGCCCGCGGCCCACCCCCCCAAAGATTGGAGTCAAGCCATCTCTCGCGCGGTTGATTTTGAGCTGCTCTCCCCCGCCCATTGCAGTAGCCGGAGCGCCACCCTCGGATTCCCGGACCGCATCCTCACATCGCTGCCTGGCTGGATCCTCTCGATCGCAACTGGCGCCCAGAGGTGTTTGGCCCTGCTGGTCTGACGGATCGCGCCCCCGCGGTCGCCCACGTCCGCGCGCGCCCGCCGCTGCTTCCAGGGGGGCTCCCCGCCCCGAAAGAGATGTCCGCTTCCGCCCCTTTAAAACTGCCCTGGGCCGCGCGGTCCAGGCGGGTTCATTCGACCGCCCCCCCCTCCTCTCGTTCGCGACTGTAGCAAAACCACGATGTTGGAAGCTACTCGTTTCGCCCGTGGCCAGATCATTCTGAAGCGCCCATCACTCCCACGCTTGTTTCGCTGTGGTCCTAGGAATGGCTCGTGCACTGTTCCGCCAGGAATGGGCCCTGGCCAAGCGCCAGCACCAGTCGCGCCCGCGATGCAGAGTTCACCTGAACCACGATTACGACACCTTCCGCACGTCTCATCGACCCCCCCCCCCCCGCTTCACCCCCGTGCCCGACGACCTCCACCTCGAGACCGCTCAAGCAACATGACACTCTCTGCAGGCTAGTGCCCAGCGTCTCTCGCGCCCGGCTGCGATCGCCCGTGTCGCCGCTCGCGCTCGTTGATTAGGCCGGCCTGCGAAGTTGCCGCCTCCGTTCGATCGGCGCGTGACCCTCGCTGGCGCTCGCGCGAGCGACGCCAGGCAGGTCGCCCCCGAACGCCGTCGGCGACCCTAGCCAGTTTTGCCCAGCACAGGGGCCCGATTTTCTCTGCTATGGAGCGCCACCACGAGGAGGCGGAGGCCTTCTTGGACAAATTCCTTCCTCTCCTTAATTGTGCTGCATCCCCCCCCCGCGCCATGATAGATATTCAGAAATATCTAGAGGCTCAGGCCCATGGCCCCCCCTGGCCCCGACGGCCTGCCACACTGCGCGCGGCGCTTTGCCCCTCGCGGTGCTAATGCGCCCCATGATTCGACGCGCTGGGCCCAATCTGGCCAAACCGTTTAAGGGCGCAGTGCTGCGGGAGGAGTTTTCAGCCCCAAAGGGTCGCTCGCCCTCCCTCTGGGGGAGAACCTGGGGAAGAACCTGGCGCTCGCCCTCCCTCTGACACTCGCCCGATCGGATTAAAGAACTGTGACAACCAAATCATGGCGGGGGCGTCGGTCCGCCCCATGACCCGCTCTCTCCCCGCGGGCCTCGACGAGGCCCAGCGCGGCTTCGCCCCCCGCCGAAATTTCGGCTGCAACATTTTGGAGTTAGACGCGGCTGGCAGGGAAGCCAGCATGCAAGATGGCCCACACCTCCACCCTCCTGCCTTCTTGTGCTTTGACTTTGGCCATGCCTTCCCCTCCATGTCCCATCGCTGGCTTTCTGCCGTTCTGCGCCGTATCTCCCCGCCCCCGCCTCTCCCCCCCCGCCCTTCTTGACCTCTACTCTGGAGTCGTCTGCTCTGGCCTGGCGGGTGGGATTGAACGCGTTCTTTTCTGGATCGCGAGCGGAATCATCCAGGGGTGTCCCGCGGGCGGGTCGCTTTTTCGCGATGGGGGCCGACCCGTTCCTGCGGCGCTTTGGGGCTTTGTTGGGTCTGGGGGGTCTGCTGAGAGCATGCGCGGACGACGTCGGAGCTGTCATTTACAAATTACAGGACATCGCTGTCCTTGTTTCTGGATTCCGAGTCGCGGAGCGACTCGCGCACCTCTGCTTGGATGCGCGCGAGTGCAAGCAGGTTCCGGTAGCTGCCGCATTCTCGGATTTTCTAGCTCAGAGATATGAGGTATCTCTCGCGGCCCTGCCCCCCCCCCCCCCCCCGCGGGTCCAACGTCGAGATTGTCTCCGCGGCCTTCTACCTCGGGATATTGATGGGCCCAACAGTTACCCCTAGCACCTCCTGGGAAGCCCCAAGGGAAACGTTCCTCAATCGTGCCCGCATGCTCGCAAATGAAGGTACCCCCATCTCAGCTCACCGCCTCGACGCCCGCCAGCCGCGTGCTCACTGTTCTTTCCTGCGCGGGCCAATTCCAGTTCATCGCGCCTGCCATGAAGAGGCGAGAGGCAGCGACACTGTCCAGCTTATTTTAGCACCCGCGCTTTCGAGTTGACGAGGGTGGATGGCCGAATACAGAGAAGCGGGGGGCCCCAGGATCCACGGTGGTTCTCGCGAGCATGGCCCGGCTGATTCGTGCCAACAGATATGCGCTTGCCGACTGGCTGCCCATTCTTGACAGGCTCCGAGCTGTCGCCGAAGAAGCCGTGCCACTCGTCCAACTTCTGGAGACAGCAGCCCTGGCCGCTTTTGTGGAACCACCAATGCGTTCGTCAACGCCCTCGAGCAGGCCCCCGTGGGCTTCCCCAACATCCCAAACATATTCCCATTACGTGATCAAGCCATTTAAAAACTTAGCAGTATTCAGTATTCAGCATGCTCGCCGTCATCTTTCCCCTCAATCCCTTCACGCTCAGTGTCACCTCTCTCGTTTTCTCCTTGCCAATGTTTAGCCGGACAAACTTCAAGGTATGCTCCAACGCCGCCTATTTGCACGGCTCGGCCGTCCACGTCTTTGCTCTTGCACGTCCCTGATTTCCTCAAAGCGCCCCTGCCATTAACCTTATCCCGTGCTCCGGAGTACGCTCCTCCATTGTCCTTCTCCCCCTGCTTCGCGCGCCGCGATTGTCCGCGCTCTCATCGGTGGATGGATCACTTCTTCCAACTTTCAAGAAGCTGCGCCGTGTCCGTGCTGTGGCCAGTCTACTGACGCGTTCCGCCACCTCTGGTCCTGTCCAGCGTTCATGGACATCATGACCCATGCTGCCCGTGTTTTGCATCTTCCACCATGTGCAGTTGCCCGCCCCGGACTCTGTCATCCGTCTCGCGCCTCTCTTTCAATTGTTGCGCGTGCTCATCACCTCCATAACGAGATTCGGACTTCCGCCGCCCCGCCGATCATGAGGTTGGTCCGTCATCAGGTGGCGCGCCCGTCGGCGCGCCGACCAAAGACCCGGCCCGCGGCTGCGCTCCAGGAGGAGGAGGAGGAGAAGGAGGAGGGGGAGGAGGAGGAGGAAAAGGAGGGGGAGGAGGAGGAGGAGGAGGAGGAGGAGGAGGAGGAGGAGGACGAGGAAAGGACAGGAGGAGGGAGGAGGAGGAGGAGGAGGAGGAGGAGGAGGAGGAGGAGGAGGGGGGGGGGGGGTGGGGAGGAGGGGGAAAATGGAGGAGGACAATCGGAGTTTTTGGAGGTGGAGGGGCGGAGGAGGAGGTGGAGGGGGAGGGGGGGAGGAGCAGGGGGAGGAGGAGGAGGAGGAGGAGGAGAGGAGGAGGAGGAGGGGGAGGGGAGGAGGTGGAGAATGAGGAGGAGGAGGACGAGGAGGACGAGGAAGAGGAGGAGGAGGACGAGGAGGAGGAAGGAGGAGAGGAGGAGGAGGAGGAGGAGGAGGAGGAGGAGGAGGAGAAGAGGAGAGGAGGGAGGAGGAGGAGGAGGGGAGGGGGAGGGGGGGGCAGCAGCAGCAGGAGCAGGAGCAGGAAAAGGAGGAGCAGGAGATTGAGGAGGAGGAGGACAACGACGAGGGAGTAGGAGGAGGAGGAGGAGGAGGAGGAGGAGGAGGAGGAGGGAGGAGGAGGAGGAGGAGGGCCCCCAGTCCGAAGCCGCTGGTCTCGATCTTCCCTCTTTCGACATGGCCCAGATGCCTGCGCCTCGCCCCATCGACCCGCACCCCCCTCACGCGCCCCTGCAGGTATGGGCCGTCGGCGCCGCCGAGGAGCTGGGATCTTGGAGCCCAGGGCGCGCCCTGGAGCGAGCCCCGCGACCAGTCGCCGTCGCCGCCGTCTCCGATGCACAGTCAACCCACGTAGTAAAGACGGGCAGCCTTCCCATGGGTACCCTTGCATTCTTGCCCATCGGGCCCATTCTTAGCGACTGGCACTGGCCAGCCTCGTTCGAGAAAAAAACAAAAAATACCTTGGCCCTCCAAGGCCCTTGCATCATTGCCGCGCCTCCTGAGAATACGGTTTGATTGCTGTCCTCACCGCCCCCTCTCGGAAAAGAGCACACGGCATGAACATGCAGTCGAGATGCTGCAGCGGGGCTCACTATGGGCTCAGGATAGACCCTAGCTTTCGGGTGCCGCTCATCAGACCTACGGTGCCCGGATAAAAAGTTTCCACGCCCATGGCGGGAAGGCGATGCAAAGTGGTAACAACCACAATTGTGGAACCCCCTTGATTCGCACCCCTCCCCCACCCCAAAACTGAAGTGCCCACAGATTGTCCCTGGCATTTGGCATGCCGCCTAAAACCGTCAACTTTGAATTCGGGGGGAGGGGGGTGGACATGCTGGTCCGACGTACTTTCATAATTCAAAATCTTGGCGAGACACGCGTGGACATTTTAGTCCACCCGCGTTGGGTCTTGGAACCTACTCGTGGCCGAGGTTCGCCCTGGCCAGACAAGACAGGCCCTCTCGATCCATTCCTGATGGCAGCGCGATGGCTGCAGGGTCTCGGAGGTCCGCGCGGATTCCTTGGATCGGCGCGAGGAGGAAGAGGCGGAGGAAGAGGAGGAGGAGGAGGAGGAGGAGGAGGAGGAGGAGGAAAAGGAGGAGGAACAGGAGGACGGAGAGGAGGAGGAATAGGAGGAGGAGGAGGAGGAGGAGGAGGAGGAAGAGGAGGAGGAGGAGGAGGAGGAGGAGGAGGAGCAGGAAAAGGAGGAGGAGGAGGAGGAAGACGAGGAGGAGGAGGAGGAGGAAGAGGAGGAGGAGGAGGAGGTGGAGGAGGAGGAGGAGGAGAAGGAGGAGCCCGCTGGGGGGCGGCGCCAAGCCCAGCGCCGATACAGTCGGCCCCGATTTGTTGGTCGACTTTGCCAAGGCGAGGTTGCCCTCGTGTCCCGTTTGTCCCGACCCATTCAGCCCGCATGTCCTTTCTGGCGTTCTGGGGCCACGTTGCCGTCGGAGGAGCCTTGCGTCCTTTCGGGCGTCCTGTCCAATCAAGTCCGGCCGTACCAAGACACCGCCGTGGCCCCGGAGGGCTGGGGAAAGAGAGGAGGGATGGGGACAGAGGTGGGGGCCCAGGCACCCGACGTCATGATTCTTTCGCGCGAGATGGCGGCCCCTTTCCCGGGACCGACGCTTCATCTGGAGGATTTTTCCGAAGGGCTTTGGCGACCCATCCTCCTCATCCTCATCCTTCTGCTCCTTTTCCTCCTCCTCGTCCTCCTCCTCGTCCTTCTCCTCCTCCTCCTTTCCTCCTCCTCCTCCCTCCTCCTCCTCCTCTGCTCCTCCTCCCTCTCTCCTGCTCCTCTCCTCCTATGCTCCTCTCCTCCATCTCCTCCTCCTCCTCCCTGCTTCCCCCTCCCCCCCTCCTCCTCTCCTCCTGCTCCTCCTCCCCTCCTCTCCTCCCCCCCTCCTTCCTCCTCTCCCCTTCCTCCTCCATCTCCTCCTCTTCTCCTCCTCCTCCTTTCCTCCTCTCCTCCTCTTCCTCCCCTCCCCTTCTTCCTCCTCCTCCTCCTCCTCCTCCTCCTCCTCCTCCTCCTCCTCCTCCTCCTCCTTCTCCTCCTCCTCTTTTTTCGGGGGTCGCCTACGGCTCAGGAGGAACCCTCGCAGCTTCATCCCAAGTTTCCTTGGAAAACCCCTATGGGGCACAGTAGGGGCCCCTGAGGCAAACAACAGTGCTAAACCTCCCGTCATGTTTTTTTTGGCCTGGAGGGGTCTGGAGCCTGAAGACAAGGGGGATGAGCAGAGGCGACTGCTTCTGTTGGGGGTTCGGCGATAACCCGGTATCTCGGGCCCGCCCGACCCCCCCCCATCCCCTCCAGATGATCGGTTTTTGTCTGTGGCGAGGGGGTACGCAGCATTGGTCCGCGCGGGCGTACGGTGAGCTTCCCCCGAAGCGAAGAGGTGATGTTATCGACAAGCACCCCCCCCCACCCCCTTCCACCGGATAACCCAGGGTATCGCCGAACACATAGATTCTAGATGCTTCGCGTCACCCCACCAGCCCGCTCCGTTGCCTGGCTCAGCCTGGCTCAAGCCATCTGGCGGGATCCCCGCCGCTCAAGGGGGCGCCCGACGCAGCGGCCGCGCGGCCAGGCCCGCGCTCGCACGCCCGCCGCGCCGCCATCGCTTGGCGCCCCTCAGGCGGCAGCCGACCCCCCCCCAACGGCAGCGCCCTTAGCGCCATGGAGAGGCTTCCGCCACGGAAGGGGATCGGAACAACGGAACCCCCCGAGGTGACCACGGGTCGGAGGATTGTCCAGAGTTAGTGCGGGGCTTGGGGGCCTTGTCACTGCCAGGGGACCAAGCCGTGCCCGCCTCCCTCGAATCCGAAGTTCTTCTGGGTCAGCCCACTCCAGCCGATGACGCCGTGGGTCGGGACAGCCTTGCTCGCATCGATCAGGCCTCCGAACCCTCCAATCCTGTTGGTGCATTGCGCAGTACTGCTGACCCGCTCGCGGCCGACCGATCTGATCCAACCACACGAGTACATGCAGCCGTTAGCTGCCCCCCCAAGCAGAGGATCGCGGATCGGATCATGCCTCTGGCCGCGGCCACGACGACGATTCGAATACACCAGTGAATGTGGCCGTTAACCACCCCCGCGGGGAAGACGGCGGCGACGTGACGTCACGATTCGACATCGGCGACCTCTCCTCACCAGTGCGCGTGGCCGTTAGCCACCCCCCCTGGTGACGCCGGTGGCAGCGCGGTCTCCATGGCGGACGACCGTCGCCCCCCTGGCGTGGAGCGCCGAAGGCAATCTTCTTCACCAGTGATCGTGGCCGTGAGCCACCCCCCAGAGACGAGGCGGCGCGGCAGAGGCCTGGCGACTGTCCCCGCGCACCGGAGGAGACAGCTCGCCAACCCCCGGCAGAGGCCCCCCCGCACGGAGAACATTCGCTTCCACCGCGCGGACGCATCGCCAAGGAGGAAGACGAAATCGCGACAAAGGTTCCTCTCTCCCACCCCGGAGAGAGGAATGGGGCAGCCGAGGAAGCCGCCTCGCGCGGGCGCGTCGACCCCGACGGCCGCTGAGGACCCACAGCGCGATAGCAGGGCGCAGGAGGGCCCCCTCCCGCAGCATCTCCCCCTGGAGGCTCCAGCGCCCCCGGTACATGTCCGCAGACTGGGAACTCGTCGACCTCGGGGGAGGCGCCCAGGTCCTCCTGGACAGAGAAGGGAGCTCTATCTCGCAGCGCGGGCCCCCTCCTGACCCCAGCAGGGACCGCGGCGGAGACATTTCGCGAGTGACCCCGCAGGAGACTCCGCTCCAGCCCGACAGAGACCCTTCGGAGAGAAGCTCTTCGGCCCACCCGAGGCCCAGCAGAGCCCCGCTCAAGGCCGCCTCGGAACGAGCCCCGCGGGCCGCTGAAGGCTCCCCTGACGGCGGAGTCCAGGGCCCCCGAGGGGCCCACGAAGACCATCGAGAGTCATGGAGGAGCGGCAGCCACCACAGGGGGAATCCACGGGACCTTCCAGACACGCCGCGGGCGGCACGACGGGCACCCCCCGCTAGAGGCGGCCCCCGGGCGCCGGCTGGGGCCCCGGAACGCGGCCCCAGCGCAGAGAGATCGCTTCCGCGTCCGACCGATCCGCTTTCGTGAGACCCCTCCGCCCCTTCTCCTCTCGCCTCCGTTGCCTACCCTCCGCTCAGCGGCTCCAGCCCCCCGAGCGGTCAAGAGCCGGACCAGCGTGGCCCCCCTTTCGCCGCGCCTTGTGACTCCCCAGGTGGCGCGGAGGGGGGGGCCCTCCTAGCAGCAGTGCCCGCTGCTGCAAGCGGCGACGCCCCTCCTGCGGGCGAGCCGCCCGACCCGCTGCAGGGCCCGCGAACGGAGCAGCGAGCGCGGCGGGAGCAAGCGCGCGGCGCGGACGACGGGGCCAGACGGGTCACTGGCCTTCTCCCCGGCCCTTGGAGTCCGCAGTGAGATCGGGGGGCCCCTGGCGCGAGCGCGCGGCCGCGCCTGCGCGCTCACGGGCGTAGCAGCGCAACTTGGAGACCCCCGCTCACAACGCGCGACGGGGCGCCGCCCAATCCACGCCGCGGGAGGCCCAGGAGGCCCACGAGAGGACAACGGTCATGATTTCGAACTGGAAGACGACGACCTCGCCCAGCACGTGGCCAGCACCTTTGCCATCTAGATATCACGGGTCTCGCCTGGCCCATAAACGGCTGCGACTACGGGGCAAGGCTGGGGTGGGGGGTCAGGCCCCACCACCCCGCCCAGATACTGCCCCCCCGACTCCTCGCTGTGATTTTCGACCCCGGCCCCCTACCGTCCGAACAGGGCCTGAGTCGAGCAAGAGCCGGGGACAAGGCCCCACCCCTCGCCAGACTGTGCGACGAGGGCACCACCGCCGCCGAGATGGACGCGGCAGCGGCTGCATGCGCAGCGATGGCCGAGGCAGCCACGTACTGCGGCTTCATTCCCACGGACCCCCTTGAGAACGGAAGCAACCACCAGGCTGCGCATCCGATCTTGGGCGCCTTGGGGGCCGAGACCAGCGCAGGGCGCCTGGGCCCATGGGGGGCGGGGCGCGCGCGGCGCGCGCCGACGACCCGCCCCCCGGCCCTAGGTCCAGGGAAGACCCTGCCGCAACATGCACATCGAAGGCCGGTGCACCCCAGCCGACCTGCAACGCCGGGCCCCCAAGGCGCGGTCTCGCTGGACCAAGACTTGCAAGCGCCACCTCGTCCACCCCGATTTCGACACCCTGGCGCGCCTGCTCGGGGGGCACGCCAATCCCGCGAGGCACCCAGAGACCCTGCTGGACCCCAACGGCGCCCCCATGTCCTCGGAGAAG